TTTATTCCTTCTTTTCTCTCTCCATCTTCCCAGATATATGTAGTAGAAATATAAAGAGATCAGCATATGTTACAGAGAAAAAAAGATTATGTATTATACAAACTCTCATAAACAACCTGATATAATTAAGCCTTGTAAATTTTATGGTCTAATAGTAGCCAAAGATTGTTTACTGACTACATTTAATAGTCACCAAGGATGGTTCAGCCTGCAATGTAGGGTCCTGTAGAAAATAAGCAAACACCATTGTTAGTTTATGTTATTTCACAAAACTGGTGAGTAGTCAGATGTCTACTTTGATAAGAGTGAATTAAACAGGCGACAAAAACACAATGTCCCAAAGCATTTTAATTGCACTATATTTAACATGCTAATTGGAATAAGAAACTACACTCTGGTAATGTTACTGTTATCTAAAATCATTGTAAAACACAGGTTTTAGGTGACATTTATATATGTTGGGTAACTGGCTTTACCATTTTTCTAAATACAGAATCATACATTTTTAAAATGAATGATGAAAATAAAGTGGTGAGTAGTTTAAGAGTAGGAGAGAATAAGATTTGGAAGTATGGTTTTCGGTTGTCCTGTTTTGAGAAATTAAGTTGTTTCATTATTTTATTTTTTCTTTTCTGAGTAAACATGAAAGTGGTCCTTACAGGATTGGTAACAGACATTTTTGAGAAAGACTGATCCAGATATCAGCATGTTATTATTTAATTTGCAATAATGTTTCCTAGATTTTGGAAGACAATAACTTTGGAATCCTTATGGAGTAGCACCATTTCTTTTGCATATTAAATCAATAAGCTTATATTAATGTCGTAAGGCTTCATCAACTATGTAACAATATATGCTGCTTTTACAATCTGAAAAAGAAAATGCTACAGAAATAATTTTTGTGACATCTTTGTGTTTAGGCAAGTGAGAAAAAAAAGGTCAAGGTGTATGATATGTGACAAGTACTCCTTTAGATTCCAAAATACATCTGGTCTTTTAAGATTTTTCAGTATTATTTCAAATAAGCATGTAGTAACCCTAGGATATACTTGTTTTTCAGTAGCAAGTCATCTCTTTTGTTACAGTACAGCTATAAACATACTTCATAAATTATATTCATATGACTGAATTTCATTAAAAAAAAGAAATTGACATATCTTAAAAATTAACATGAATGGTCTATTAAAATTAATGATTTCACGAATTAAATGTTGCTTAGTGGATAAAGGCAATTTTCAGATAAATTATATTCTCAATAGCAACTCTACTTGGCCATTTGCAAGCTGGACTTTATTGAACTTAGTGTGATAAGTTGTTCCTCTAACATTTGTCTCCTCTTAACCAGCACATTTTCACTATATCCAAGTGACATTGAACGGCCTAGACTTCTAGAATACCATGTCGTGGGATACATAGGCCTGTGCATGTGATAAATACCCCACATAACTCTCTGTTTTACTGGCACAGGGAACCCAGGGCAGGAATCACACAAACTTTTAAGGTAGTTACTGGGAAAGAGAGAAACTATAGAAAGCTCTGAGAAAGCCAGCATGTGGCCAAAAACAACAGCAGGTATGGCCATATGGCAATCGAATTAGAAAAGGGATTTTTGCCACACTGCCTTCCAGAAGGTAGTCAAGCCCAGGCAGCTCTCATGAAGGGATGATTTACTCAGTACATTTTAAGTGTTTCATATTGCCTCTTACACCATTCAGTCCCAAAGGGAACTTAAATCTATTATACCAAATAGATATTGAAGTGTTTTCTTAAAAATAAAAAAATAATAACTTCTAAAGTAATTTCAGTTTCACATTTAAAGATCACAGTGCCAAAAGCATGTTTATTTCCAACTAAGCATTTGCTGAAACTGTTTTCAAAAAAGTAAAGCTTTGTAAGGATAAAATTTAATAACGTTATTTTATTTTAACAACACATTTGGTGAGATTTTTTAACATTTTAAAATCCCCTACCTAGTCTAAGGCACTCTGTAATAATATAATTTAAATTAGTTGTATAAGAACCCCTTAACCTGTAGAATAACATTTGTCAGAAATTCTTGAGGCACATTTTTTTTTTAAAAGAATTTGCTGAAAATGTGTTTTACGTCTCAGATTAGCTCTCAAAAACTTGTTTGACCTACAAGGAACAGGAGCTATACTGGTAACAGTCATTTTAAAATTTATTATTATTATTGTATCATGTTATAATTTCAGCAACATTCTTGGAATGTGTGTGAATGTGTATGTGTGTGTGCTGGAACATGTGTGCATGTGTGTTTAATCTGGTAAAATGTTCAGGCTTTGTCTTTTATTGTTCTTATCTTGAGGGAAAATATCATCTTTGTTTAATAAGAGAGACTTAAGAATATTTCCCCGGCTCTGGTCTTCCCCCTCCACACATGCACACACCTTTATTAGGGTGATAACAAACTAGCCTATGTCAGCATGAACTTAATGTTCATATTTCAAACTTGAATTTTCTAATTTGTTTCTACTTATTGACAGTACCACACTTCCATTTTCCATGACCACATTTTTAGAAAAACTGACCAATAAGAAGATAAGTCCTTAAACTAATAGCTAATAGTTTAAGTATGGATTTCTTCAAGTATGGATTTTTTCAAATAGGATTATTATGTGTATCTTGAATAAAGAGAAATTATCTATGTAAAAAATGTGAACTAGTAATCAGTTACTTTTTGGAGTACAAATACTATATTTCTATTGAAATTAGTTTACATGTACTTACCTTAGTAGAAGAAAGTCAGATTTTGTTGTTTTAAAATTGTTTTCTTTGGTATATGGTTATTTTTGTTTTGCCTAGGAATCCAGGTTTTAACTTTAAAAAAAAAATAAGTCTTGGGAAAATAAAAAGAAAAACGTAATAAACATCACTGCCTCTATCGCTCAGATGTTAGGCTATTGTCATTTTGGCATGTTGCTTTCAGTAATTATTAAAATAAAACATATGGTTAAGCCCTTTGGTCCACTTATTGTCCTACTCTCATGAGAGAGGCAACCATTAACATGAGTTTGATTTTGTTTTCCCTTTCAATTAAAAAAATTACATATGTATATCTGTTAAAAATATGAGTATTATTTTAAATATACAGCTTGAACAGCTGTGAATCCTGAACCCCATGCCATCCACCATCTGCATTTAACTTTTGATGCCCCCCAAAACTTGACTACTAATAGCTTACAACTGATCAGACAGAAGCCTCATCAGTAATATCAGCAGTCGATTAACATATATTTTGTACATTATATGTAATATATACCATGTCCTTACAATAAAGTAAGCTAGAGAGGACAAAATATTATTAAGGAAACCTGGGGCACCTAAGTGGCTCAGTCCGTTAAGCATTTGCCTTTGGCTTAAGTAGTAATCCCAGGGTTTTGAGATGGAGCCCTGCTTCTCCCTCTCCCTCTGCCCACATCCTTGTGCTCTCTCTCTCTCTCTGCTCTCTCTCTCAAATAAGAAAATCAAATCTTTCTTTTTCTTTTAAGATTTTATTTATTTGACAGAGAGAGAGACAGCGAGAGAGGGAACAGAGCTGGAGGAGTGGGAGTGGGAGAAGACTTCCCACTGAGTAGGGAGCCTGATGCAGGGCTCGATTCAAAACCCTGGGATCATGACCTGAGTTGAAATCAAGAGTCCTGTGCGTAACTGACTGAGCCACCCAGGTGCCCCAAATCTTAAAAAAAAAAAAAAAAAAAGAAAGAAAGAAAAGAAAAGAAAATCCTAATGAAGAGAAAATATACTTACAGTACTGGACTGTATTTATTGGGAAAAAAATCCACATACAAGTGGGCCCACACCATTCAAACCCATGTGGTTCAAGGGTCAACTATGTGTTCAAAGGTATATTGCACATGGTATATGGCATAGCTTCTTCATGTTATTTTTTCGCTAAAATTCGTTATCATGGTCTACTCATTGACACATAAAGATCCACCTCTTTCCTTTTAACTGTTTTACAACATTTTATCATATGAAGAGAAAACACTTTATTGACCCGTTCCTCTACTGATGGACATTGATAAGTGTTTTTCTTCATGGTTTCTCTGGTATTCCATTAATCCTGAGGTTTGAATAACATTTTCATAATAATCAAGCAGTAGCACTTAGCAAACCACTCTTGAATATTGTCCATTGGAGATGTTTTCTTTTTCTTTTTCTTTTTTTTTTAATTATCCCTCAAATCTAGCAAAATGGCAAACAATTCAAGACACGATTTTTAACATCAAATGTAATTTGTTCAAAATTTACATTAATCTTTCTCATAACTAGTCACTTCCATTTTGTCTTCCTGTCATCCTGAAGAATGAAAATGTAATTTCCCAGAGGCTTTAAGAATTGGGGGAGTATTAAATGTAACCGAAATTAAGTGATTAATAATTTACTTTTGGGTCATGAATCAACTTCGCGGGATGCTAAGGACCATTTGCAACCCCGGGAGCACTGGCAGTAACAATGCACTTTTTTAAGACAAGAGCTCTCAAAGGTTGGCTGCCCAACCTAATTAAACCCAAGTCTTCTGATACCAAATTTATTTCTTCTTTGGACTGAATTTCCAAAGATCTTGACAGGAAAATGTCACTTTGCCTGACAGCTGATAGACAGGTTATGTAGCACCATAATTGGAGAGAAAAGGATAGCTTAAAGCTACTCGATTTAATGGCTATGTGTATGGCTTTTTCTCTTTCTTTTCCTTTTTTTTTTTCCTAAGGTTTCTATGACAGACACAAAAGGCCTTAGCAAATAGGCCTAGTGCCATTTTTCCCCTGCTTCCTCCCGGGGTAATTATCTTACTCCATCAATAGTGCTGTCAGAAATTGGGCACATAATTCAGCATTTAAATGAACAAGCAATGTAATATTTCCTGTCTCCCAGTGGAATGCTTTGTAGTTCACATTCTTCTCTGTCACTCGCTCACTCTTGATGTATGTCCCACAGCCAGTCTTTGAATGCCTCCTCTCCCTTGTGTTTCATTGCAGATGTTGGCTCCGACTTGACACCTACTTCATTTGGAGCTTTATAGGACCAGCGACCTTGATAATAATGGTAAGAACTCCTCATTAACTATGTGTTTCCCAGGTCAAGAACTAAAAATTCCACGATGCTTGCACTGACTATGCTTGATTTACATAGATTATTTTGGGGGAAATCGTCTACTTCTCTGACCTTCTATAACTCAAGCAGTTAGACACTCAATATAGTCTACTTTTATATTATAAAATACTTACTCAAAAATGTTGGAGAGGAAAAGAGCCCGACCTCACATAAGCTACGTGGTTTTGTAGGTTTTTGAACAGCAGTGACTTCAAGTTTCACAACGATATATTTCCTTTCTTTTTCATTTGGATAATTTTTGAGTTATGAATGGAATTGGAAATTGGAAATGCGGTCCTCTACCTTACTATTCCTTCCAGTTTTGTTTTTTATAAACATCTCAAAAACTTTGAAATCCAAAAGAATTTCACTTGAGAATGGCAAAAATGGTTAAGCAAGCATTCTGGAATCATACTTTCTTTTGAATTTTTAGATGCGTAATGTCTTGATTTCACATATGAATTACTTATCCTAATTTAGATTCTATGTTTAGTATTATTATTTATGTACTCATGATTTTACAATATAAAATTGTTCTCCATTTTTTATAAAATTAAATGGCCTCTTGATTTTGAATAAAATATAGATTTTCAATTCACTATCTGAAATCCCTTGAAGCAGGTATATTTTAGAATTCAGAAAGTTTTCAGACTTTAGAAAAGTAATATGGTACATGTATTGCATATTATATAATATTCCTTGTAGAGAATAAGCAGTTGCCCAAAATCAAACACATATACCAATACTCAGAGTAGGGACTAGGCAGGACTCTGAAACCAAACACAGTAGTAATTCAACAGAAAAAAAATTGGAAAAGTAGGAGCAAGCAGAATAAAGACAGAAGAGTCTTATGTCAGTACAAATCAGGTTTTCCCATCAAATGGGTTTAGTTAAGGTTAGGCTTTTTGGCCACTCAATGAATTTTTTAAAACTTTGACTTTTCAGACTTTTGGAATTAAAGGATTGTAGAACTTTATTATTGAGGAGGGCTTATAATTGGATTTTCCTAGTCTCCACCAATCATAAATTTTGGAACGTATAAACAAACCAGGTCACAAGTGCAATTGAATATGCGGTTTTCTATACAGTTTACATATACGTGATATATGGAATTCACACTGGACCTTTTTGTTTTAAGTCCTGTGCCCTCTCTGCTTCCAGTGACAAAACAGTATCACTGACAAAACAGTATCACTGGCTGTGGGACATACATCAAAAACAGTGTTTTAATCCTAGTTTGTTATAGCATTATAATTAACCAGCATTTTGTAATCCTTTTGATGTAGCTATTCAAAACTATATTGATTTAGTATTTATAATTTGTAACATAGCATTTCAAAACATATCCCTGAACAACAAATTGGGGGCCATGTTCAGATGGTAGAAATAGTAACACACCTGTGTATATTTTTTTAAACATACACTTGGCTTTGAGTTGCTTTATGATTTCCACAGCATCATTCCAACTGCTGCTGATTTTGTATTTGTATGTATTTTGGCATAATAGTGCTTTGTAACTCATTGGTATCCCAATTCCCTACAGTGGCTTTTTGCCTTCACTAAAATACCAGGCAATCATCTATGATCAAGTTCCTTTTTAAGTATAGTGAGAGCTAATTTCCCAGAACAACTCATCCGTATGGAGAATAGACTTCCTTTTTTTCTTATGTTCCGGTTATGCTACATGATCGTACTTTTTACATTCCAGCTTAATGTCATCTTCCTTGGGATTGCTCTATATAAAATGTTCCATCATACTGCCATTCTGAAACCTGAATCGGGCTGCCTTGATAATATCAAGTAAGTGATTTTTCTTTTTGTTTCCTTTAGCCAGCCTAACTTTGGTGCTCTAAATCATCCTGACTTTTAATTCCACTGAAATCTTGTGACAAAATGAAGAGGATCAATGTGTTGTCTTTGCTGAATAAGATCATTTATTGACTGTTGAGATGACTTGATCTGCCTGAAAATCAGTATAATGAAGCTGTATCTTCCAAAAAAACTTTTTTTCCCCTAAACTCTGATGTGCAACACGATAAATTCTTAATATGTACACTTCACGTATTTTGTCCTGAAAGCAAATACATGGTTTCTGTATCTGGGCAGACTGTTGTTTCTTGGAGCAATAACCATATCTGTTCCCAACGCTCCATCCCCCTCCACACCAGGAGCACTGTGAAGAGAGACCGTGGCACCTGCAAGTACTAAAAGGGAGATTTTCCACCACAGGAGAGGAACCCCGAGATTATTGATCTAGGCATTTGTAGAGAAGCTCATATACAGCTTCCCTCCTCTCCTTCTGAGAGAGGAAGAGAAAACACAACTCCCTGTTGAAAAATCCTACGGTATATAAATATGTGGCTCCAGGCTTTAGTCCCCTTTGAAATGTTAACGTTTCCCTCCTGGGAGGCAAATCACTCCAGAAGTCTCTCACTATCTATTCAGCCATCTTTCAATTTCCAAGGTTTGTCCTTTAACCCAAATTCTGTTTTTCTATGCTCAGAAAGCCCTGGCCATGCACAGATATGAAAATATTCACATTCCTTTCCACACTAGTGGCACTTCTGTACATACACAAAAAAGAAGCTAATTTACATTTTCTGAAAAGAAAAATAGTTCCTCAGTATAACCAAAGATTTTATCGTGTTCCTTCAGAGGCTGTGACATTTGAGAAAGATAGTCCTGTGGAGATGTACATCAGTTATTAATATATATTAAATTGTAATTTGTATATAATTTGCCTATGCTATGTATTAATTTGGTTAAATGTTTTTATTTAAATGAATGTACTTTCAGAAGTTTCATGAGGTCACCTGTGACTTTTGAACATTCTTCCTGAACTACGTCAGATAACAGCTATGTCACCCATTTTCCATCTTTCTACATTTAGCTCCTGACAAAGTTCCTTGCCGATAGCAGGCCCTTAATGAATGTTTATAAAATAAAGCAATACAATTAAAGACTTTAGTGACGAAAGTGTACTGACACGAAGTAGTTAATTTTGTTGAAGGAATCATCTGTCTAACTTAATTGAAAAGGATAGCTAAGAAATTAGAAAAAAAAATGTAATGGAGCAAACTAAGAATTATCTACTATGAGTAGTAGTAGACTTCTGTAGTTCTCGATGTTATTAGTTGAGGTGATAGTCATTATTTTGTTGAATTATGTATAATTAGACTGTCCTTCTAATATTAGTTCCTTGGACTATCTTTTCCTGATGAAACTGAATTTGGATAAATAAATAAATAAATAAATAGGCATATAAAATACATTTTGCCTAAAATGTACTCCCTTTTGATGTAAATTACATCTTTGTATCTATTGTTTTATAGTATAAAGCAAAATGCAAGTAATACTTTATTACCATTTATACTGTTTTTAAAGTACTATCAGAAGTAAACACTTTGATATTTAATAACAGCTTTTATAATGTTAAAAATCAGGGGGGAAAGTTCTTGTACTAGTACAGTCACACATCTTAAAAGATCAGCTCGTTCTGTATTTATTCATATATATTTCTTTAAGTGGTATGGTTCGAATCTTTATTGTTATTGTTTAAAAAAACAAACACATAAAAAGCAATAGTTACTGTAACTAGAGGTAATGACATTGATGGCATTAAGCTTTACATTACAAAGTAAAGTAAAGCCTTTGAGAATATCTTAATTTAAATTCTGTCCAAACTGCTTTATAGTTTATATAGCTTTTGGGACGTTTATTTAAACTTGCTGAGCCTTTCTGTCCTCTTTAAAATGGGTACAATAATGGGGCACCTGGCTGGCTCAGTCAGTAGAATGTGACTCTTGACCTCAGAGTTGTGAGTTCAGGCCCCACACTGGGTGCAGAGCTTACTTAAAAATAAATAAAAGTATTAACTGTTCTTTAAAAATAACAATGAAATAAAATGGGTATAATAATGAAATACCCAACCATCAAATAAGTAAAAGAATATATACAGCCTTTGATGATTTTTTTTAAGAGAAATTAAGTAGTTGTTGGAAAGGGTGGTTTTGAAATGAAAGAAACATGAATATGGACATGCTGGTGAGGAAGAACCGGTTATAGAGAGATTAGAAGCACAGGAAAGGGAATGGTTGTTGTAACTGTGAACTGAGGAATTGTAGGGTGGAGATTGTAGAGATCCAGAACTGTGGTCAACCATTCCACTCTATTAAAGTACATGAAGGACACTTTTCTACCAAGGTAAGAGAAACTGGGTAGGAGGACTCTTTTCCACTGAGACTAGGTGAAATAAATAGTAGGTGTGATGTAGATTATGTTGGAGGAACCGGGGCAGGGCAGTAAACTGAGGAATTTCTGCCTGCTATCCTCTGTGCAGTAGGAAAGGTGGTCATCTGCGGGATATAGGGACATGTTGAAGAGTGAAAATAAGAAAGAAATCTCAAGAAAATATTCCTTAAAAGTTCCTAGAAGCTGAAGGACATTTCATTTTATGGAAAACATATTAACTATTTAGGAAGTACTTGTAAAGAAATCAGCAGGGCTTAATTGGTGAGGAAAGAAGAATTTAAGAAAGATAATAATGATTTTGAATATAAGGGAAAACACACAAAATCCGGCATCCTTTTTATCTAAAAAAACAAGGATCTTTTTATATGTATTTTTAAATGTTACGGGTGGTGTGAGGATATTTATTTGAAGACGTAAGCATCATTTATCTGGAAAATCTTTTTTTAGCATGGGAAAGGGCATAAAAGTTAATGTTTTCCTGTTTTTGTTTTTTCCATTTTTGTAAAATGCTGAATAAAATGGGCCACCTTGTTCAGTTTATTGAGGAAAAAGTCCAGCATACAAGGACTTTTGGAAGTCAATGTCTTTCTAAAACAATTCATTCTCTCATTTATCAAATATTTACTGCCTCTATTATACAGGTTCTTTCACACAAAGATCTCTCCTTTTTCTAAAATGTGTTTCCTTCTCCCCATATTCATTGCCACCATTTTTTTAAGCCACCATCAACTTCTGCAGAAAGACTGCAGTGGTCTTGTAACGTCTTTCCTCATTATTGATTCTTGCCCTTACCTCCATCAGCTAGAGTGAGCTCTTAAACCATGTAAATCCCATCGTGCAACTCCCTTGGGTAAAACTCTTCAGTGGTTTCCTGCTACACTCACACAGGAAGTCCAGACCTTCTACCCCACCCTACTAACCCTTTCAGGCCTAGTTGCTGTTTCTTTCCTTGGCCTCTTGTCAAGCCATTTGCCCCTCTGGCCATTCTAGATGGGTTCACTTGCTTCAGTTTTTCTCTCTCCTGTTTCTCTACTGACTTTGTTTTCTCAAACACTATGCCTGGCTGGCTCCCAATTTACCCTAATCAATTTAATTATTATTTTAAAGATAATTTAATTATGTTTTAATTTAAAATTTGCTTCATGATCATTAAAATAAACATTGTGTGTGTGTGTGTTTTAGTTTAGAACTTTCATTTTTCTGGCTCATTACTATATTAATGATATATTTCAGAACAAATAATAATAGAGTGAATTAGTATAGGTAACATGATTACCAAGGAAATGAGGTATGCCATTCTCAGATTCCCAAAAACGTAATTAAATTTTAAAAGTACAATTCTGTTTGCTCTTTCCTTACTTGTCTTTGTCTCTTTTTCATCAAAATACGTAATTTTATGTGGAAAAAAAAGTAATTCCACTCATTTGAATTTTCTGGTTGAGTTTCTGACGAGTTGAAATTAGAGCTTACAGTAATCATAACAAAAATCGAAACTAATTTTAAATATATACATATATGGATTAATAGGAATAAAGCAGTTATTAAATCAATGTATATTATTGCTGAGGTATTATGACATGTAAAACTTTAATTCTTGAGGTGCATTTAGAACACTCTTGACTTACTTTCACAATAAAAGTGTACTACTGCTTGCATAGTTATCAACTATTTCTTCTATTACTGGTTTAATAGCATCACAGGTACTTAAAAGAGTGAAAAGTAATGGTATAGACTTTTAGGGCTAAGAAAGAAAATTGATGTCTATATGGAGAGACAGGAAATCTGCTTAGGCTTCCCTTCCCTGTGTCTCTCCTTTAGCTCCTTTCCCATGTACAGAATTCTGCATCTGGACTTCTGATTTTGGCTTAGACATGTTTTCTGACTTCTGGTCTCTCCTTTTAACTTCGGTTTGGCATGAGTGATGGGATGGCAAACGTATTGTCAGGTGGTTTAAAGAAAGAGTTTCACTTTGCTTCATTCTTCCCAGTGCTCTAATTGCTAAGAGAAGGCATAGCAGTAGAGAGGAGTAATGATTTCAGTGCCAGAAACTTGGGTTTGAATTTCTATTCCATCTAATAATTGTTATATTACCTTGCAAGTTTCATAATGGCTCTCAGTCTGTCTCCATGGAATTGGGGATAATTGTATCTACTTTGTAGAGGTTTGAAATAATTAAATATATGTGTAATACATACATCACAAAATTTGTGCCCATACAGGATGGTTTGATTATTTTCAGCTACTATGTGAAAATACACTGCTGCCTTTAGTTCTTTGTGCTTCCTATGGTGAAATTTGCTCAATCTCATATCAAAATCCCATTAGAATTTGACTGGCTTTGTTTACCATGGGGTGTTGTTAAGAATATATATATGTATATTTATAAGTATACAAATTTTATATATACATATATATATGTATATATATATCTTTAAGCCAAGCTTATTCTGTTATGAAAGAATTGGCTCTAGGAGGGAAAGGCTCATTTAATTAATAAGTAACAAATTCTGTAGTTAGTTCTGAAGAAAAGAAAAAGAAGTATGCTTAGT